ACCTCACTTCTTTATATTTTTGAGTGGGCCAGCCAAGTTTCCACATAAAAAATACACATAATATTTCTATTTAATTTATTTTATTTTATAATATTGTCACTGAATTCTTTAAAATAAATTTACCATTTACAAATTAATGTGTTGGACACTATATAATCTTAATATTTTACAATCCATATTCTTATATTTGAATCTGTTTCAAGACATTTGAAAAATTTATTTTAGAAGCATAACAATACAACGACTAGATTTGGTGTCACAGTTTGCTCCCAATTCATACTGGAATATTGCCAGCAATAATTAATAAAGCTTGTTCAGAATACCATTTATTCCCGACATCATACTCAGTGACTAGTTCTCAGGATCTACAACAGTAAATAAATAAACAGAAATCATTTTGATGCCATGTTTTTAGACGACACCGCCATATCGCACAGATATTCAACACCGCCATATTGAATTTGGATTTGGACCATACCATTTCAAGCTGCAGGGTGTCTAAACAATGACTCAACAAACAATAAACACATCTTTCACCCACCACACAATTTTAGCCATAATTGAACAACCAAGAAAGCAACAAATATCAGGCTGCATCCTGAAAACAACGAGATAGCGCATTACAACCAGTCATTACAAACATGAAATCCTCCACCCCTCCCAGTACACCCTACAGCATAAATGGTTCCTATACTCATTTGCATCTATGTACAACAAGCTTAGCCAATAGATGCACCTGACTCATCAAACTTTTGACCAACCACTCATTCTAAATATTGTTGAGTGAGGGCGCTATTTACCAATGAGGAATCTTTAAAAAAATTAAACGGATATATATAGAAAAGAACTCACACCCAAACACCACGAGGAGATACCAATGGCGACCCAGGGCAGTTCTCTGGAATTTGAAAACGGGCATTCCCCTATATGTTGTATGTCGTACATTATGAGTACAAACTGGGCTATAAAACGTGTTATCAATCTAATTATCCTTTACGTTAGCCATATATTACGCAGTACTTTTAAAATGGCATGTCTCGGTTCTGGAATAAGTTAATCATTGTTCTAAAAAACGAATGTCAAATGCAAGGGAAATCTAAATATGTCATTTTAATATAATCACGAATACATTAACTTCCAATTTATGAAATCAATTTACCATTTTTTGAAATAATGTCGCTGCCCCAAGGTTAAGTGAAATGTACATTACCATACATTTGAACGTGCATTATATTTCCGAATTCGCATGGTCATTACTTTCATGTTATAGGAACGTGTTATAGGATTTGACAATCATCCACAAGGTAATAGTAAACACCGATTTCACACAATGGCAAACAAATTTTGATATCACAATTATCATATGTTATTTATGAACATTATTATTACGAAATTCCGAAGTGAGCATGTGTGTTCCCAGTTCCAGTAGGAGTTCTAGAACACTTTAATCGAAACGGCTTAGGGTTTATGTTTTTACATATATAAAATTTTAAAACGCTTGTGACATTTTGATAATTTACTATACTATTATTTTCGATCCAATTACACCTCCTTTTGGTGTTATGGTGTCAATCTCTCGATACTACTGTTACCATATCGTGAAAAGTTTACAAATAAAAACTGTTAAAAGATGACTGAATGTTAACAGCATGTATATTTGGGACATATTTTATTATACATCTGTCACCGTAACGCCATAAGTTGCCGCAATTCTGCGCTATTTTACGGGGTATTTTCATCTTACCATAGTAGGAAATGCGAATTCCAAATATGGATGGATTACGCGCGTAAGCGTCTTCTAATTATAACAACAAACATGGCTGCCACGAGGGTTTCATCGGACTCCATGCAAACATGGGGCCATGGTACAACCGATATATTTTGTATTTAAGGGGAATTACGTATATCTTGCTTGTGCATGTGTAAAATAGTGGCTCATCAGAAATAAAGTCAAATTCACCTATGCTTCCAGGATAGCTACTGTGTCTGTTTCCCATGGGTCTATTTATAGAGACAGTGTGGATTTCCTATCCTCGGGGGCGGACATCCGGGCATTTTCTTCCACCTGGCAACCCTCGCGGTGAAAACAAAGGCCAAAACTCGCAGAAAACGGTACTTTGGGATGGTTGTTGAGAGTCCCCTGAACAGTGTAACAAGATTAGCCCTACGTGTGTAACATATATAAATTTGGTTGTTCAGAATTACTTCAAAGTTGAGTTTGTGTTGTTTTCTCGAATTTTCACCGGCTCGAACGGCGTTCCACAGCATGTACACAGTCTTGTACAGTGGTGCGCGTCTTAGCAACATGGAACGTCTTGTGACGTAGCTCCGCCCCCGAGGATACCTACTGACCTTCAGTCATTCTGAAACCGGAAATGTTTGAGGGTGCTTGACCTATGGAATAGGTCTACGCCTACTATACATCGCTGAACAAACGTAATTGAGCAGCAGATATGGCGCTGCAACTTATCATATTTGCGTGCTTGACGTGCTGTTTAGTATGCCCTGCAAATACCGAACAGGGCGAAGTTGATGCTCATGGGGCCGTCATTACACCGGGTAACCCTGTCATGAAATTTGGGACCAATGCCTCATCCGATTGGCAGCCGAGCACCGTGCAAACTGACTGTGGTCTTGTCGAGGGCCGTCGGCACGGCGACGTGCACGTTTTCAAGGGTATACCTTATGCGAAACCACCAGTTGGAGAGTTGCGATGGAAGCCCCCCGTCTATCTGAAGAAAAATAACGGCTGCTGGAAAGGAACTCTGAAAGCGCTGCGCACAGTCAGTATTGTCCTCAGATAAATCCGATTCATGGATACATGGGAGGCGAAGATTGCCTATATTTAGACGTTATATACTCCGACTATTAATCGGTCAGCGAACCTACCTGTAATGGTTTGGATACATGGCGGGTACCTCATGTGGTCCGGTGGTTCCGAGCCCCTCTACCACCCCGATCCCACCACTGTTAATGACACCGGCTTCGTGTATGTGTCATTTCAATATCGACTTAGCGCCTTAGGGTTCTTAGCACTGGATATCTTATCCAATCTATCGAGCACCGCCACTTCCGGTAATTACGGGTTCATGGACC